TCCTTTGTTTTCCTCTACATTTCCTTTATTTTCCTCTATATTTCCTTTGTTTTCCTCTATATTTCCTTTGTTTTCCTCTCTGTGCCTTACATCTTTTTTTAAAGCCCTGCTGACCTCTTCCCCCTTGGGAGGTATCAGCTGCGCCTGACCTGCTGAACCAGACATCATCCAAATGTCCGATTCAGGTACTCTCGGTGGAGTACAAACCCACGCTGGGGAGTCAGGGGATGCTACCTTGTCCTTTGGGACAATCAGACGACTTCCCCGAGGAGGTGACAACCTCGGGGCTGAGTGCATTTTCTCACTAGGAGAGGCCTGCACCCTGGCCAAGGGTTTTAGCGAAGTAGGTGGCAACCCTATAGAGCCACATTCTGACCTAGGAGCAGCTGCATCCACTGTCAGTGTTTCTTCTAATGGAGGATCAGGGCAGGACTGAAGTCTCTTTTGCCTCTTCCTCATAGCATCCCTCTTGCGCTCTTTATTGCCAGTGAGTGACTTTCTCTTAGGCATCTATCAAAAAATTAACTCATTAACTAACAAGAGATGTTTGTAAAACATTTATGCCCCGTCCCCCCAAATTGGAATTCTTCCAAGTCCAAGGGGCATAAATCTGTCAACAAGAGGCCCACGGGCCTTATAGGTCACCTGAGTATTGTTTTCTATATAAAATTTTGATTGCCAATTTTCACCGCGCCCTACTCTCGGAGGTCAAAATTTTAACAAATTTGAATCTACACAACCTGAGAATGATTCCATATAAATACTAGATGTTGTCATGAGACAGTAATACTGAGACAGTAATACCCGCACTAAAGTGTTTGCCTCTAAATACACACTCGTACATATTGGGCGGCTTTCCAAGGAAAAGTCAAAATAATTCTAAAATTTACACAAACATATATATATTCGTTAAATTGACTATGAAAATTCTCAGACCCTGTGACATATGACTCAGAACCTCTTATAATATGTATTTTACATGCTTAATTCATTACCACTTTGAATTTAATTAATGACATAAATTAGATTTTGATAAATGTTTTGCTCATAATAGGACCTTTTAAAATTTACAAATCCCCCCCCCCCCTCAACACCACAAACACACAGCACATACCTTTTTTAGAATAGGCTTAGATATGAAAAAGTTTTGTTAAAACATCATTTGTTATGAATTAATTTAAAATTTGTTCTTGTACTTTACATGTTCACATGGTTAACATGTGAACTCCTTTTGGAAAAATTCTACATTACATTGGGTTGCATCATCCATTATCATATTTTTAGATTAAACACCATTCGGCCTACCTCTGTCGATTCCCACTTCATCTAATAAGGTGACTGAATGGATGAAGGTTTGCCGAATGGGATAGCATAAGCACATGCTGCAGTCTGGTGTGTATTGGATTAATTCATTTTGTGTTATAATCGGATTATATTTCATGGAGTTGACGAGACCAGTATGACAGTCAGTAAGTACAAGTTTAAGTATAGTGGGGGTAAAATAAATTCAAATGATTATAGGTTAAAGTTCAAAAAGGGTCAAAGATCATCGCTGCTACACTAGACAAATTTCATATAGTGAAGTTATCTGCCGTTGTCGATGTGACATTCAGTTACTGCCAATACTGATGCAGATCCAGAATTTTTTTTCAGTACTGGGGAGGGGGGTTCACATCTCAGTAAAAAAAATCCAGCCCACAATTTCCTGACAAACAGGAGAAAAAAAATGAAAACAAATGAAACTAGGGCTTTACAGATGTTCCCCAAACGCTCCCCAACTCCCTTTTGGTGCTATATTCCCTTTAAGCTCTATTAAATATGACATTATGTCTATCTTTATTTTAAATCCCATCCTATTTGGTTGGAAAATAAGGGCATATAACCATTCAAAGTTTAAGCCAATCAGATTTCAGCGAACATGCATGCACGTGATTTCATGAAAATATTATATATCATATTGTAGGATATCTTAATGCATGACTATGTTTAAATTTTAAAACATTTCGTCAAAAAACAAAAAAGATATTGAGATTTTTGTTTCAGCCAATCAGAGCAAACTGCACGTGCACGCACGTGCATAATGACTATATCTTCTTGTAGGAGCTTCTTATATCTATCTATGTTCTAAATCCCATCCTGTTATGTTGAAATGTAAGGGAGTTATAGCCATTTTAAATTTCAGCCAATCAGATTTCAGCGCACGTGCATGCACGTGATTTCATGAAAATATCATATATCATATTGAAGGATATCTTAATGCATGACTATGTTTTAAATTTCAAAACATTTCGTCAAAAAACAAAAAAGATATAGAGATTATTCTTTCAGCCAATCAGAGCAAAGCACACGTCCACGCAGGTGCATGATGACCAAACCTTCTTGTAGGAGTCAACTATGTCTCTCTATGTTCTAAATTCTATCATGTTTGGTTAAAAAACAAGGGAGTTATAGCCCTTTAAAGTTTAAGCCAATCAGATTGCAGCGCATATGCACGTGCATGTTTTCATGACAATTGTTATATATCATATTGTAGGAGATTCTAAAGTATGCCTATATTTCAAATTTCATAGCATTTCTTAAAAAAAAAAAACAGAAAAGATATTGAGTTTTTTGTATCAGCCAATCAGAGCGAAGCGCACATGCAAGTTCGTGCTTATTTGAGTGTGTCATTTTATCTACGCTATTCATATATCCTTATATAATGAGTTTCACATTATTTCATCAAAAAATATAAAAGTTATAGCTATTTTAAGGATATAAGAAATTTTGCGTGTTGCACGCGCCTGCACGTGCATGCGTATGCGCGCAAAAATGACCTTCCCTGCGACCACCTACACTACACACCTATTAACCCTAAAAAGGTTTTCGCTTTTCGCTCAGTTGGATGAACAGTTTCTGAGAACATTTGCGGACAAAAAAGTCCGGAGAAGAAATAAGAAAAAAAAAATAAGAAGAAACACAGTAAAAACAATATGTTCCCAAACTCTGTTTCGGGAACATAATAAAAACAATGATAGTGGGGTCAAATCCGTCAATGTTTTTTAAGTTTTAGGGAGGAGGTCCAAATTTTATACTTTATTTGCTTCAGTAAAGTTTATTGTTTATTTTCTTCCAGTGACCTTCAATTTCCCAAAATGACCTTGGGTCAAGGTCATGACACACCCTTGGGTCATGGGCAATCTTTGTTTGAAATGAGAACCTACCAAGTTTATCCATAAGAAAGATATGGACCGGACACAAATTATGAAAATTTTCTTCCAGTGACCTTGAACTTTCCCAAATGACCTTGGGTCAAGGTCATGACACATCCTTGGGTCATGGACAATCTTTGTGTGAAATGAGAACATACCAAGTTTATCCATAAGAAAGATATGGACCGGACACGAATTATGATATTTTTCTTCCATTGACCTTGAAATTTCCCAAAATGACCTTGGGTCAAGGTCATGACATACCCTTGGGTCATGGGCAATCTTTGTGTGAAATAGAAACCATACCAAGTTTATCCATAAAAAAGATATTGACCAGACAGGAATTATGAAAATTTTCTTCCAGTGACCTTGAACTTTCCCAAATGACCTTGGTTCAAGGTCATGACACATCCTTGGGTCATGGACAATGTTTGTGTGAATTGAGAACCTACCAAGTAAGGGCAAAACGATTACACGTGTAAACGGAGACGTTTCGATTATATGCTCTAAACGTTTACAGTTTCAGTAAACGTTTACACGAAGGTCATTATCAATGTCTTCAGAAAAAATGTTGACCACAAACAAATTGTTTTATTTCAAAATTTACAAAAGAAACACTGACTTTGACAATTTGATAAGCAACAATCTAAACTGGAAACATATAGAATGAGAATATCTAAAACCCGATATGGGCTAACATAATTCATATTTCCGAGTTGCTAATAGGAGCGATGTTTTACGACACTTAAAATATAAAACTTGATAATTATATTTTGAATATATTTTTTGAAAGTCTTTGAAAAGTTTAAATATAGTCAGCAGGTCTTGTTTTACTTCTTTCATGATTAAAAGATCCATCTTTACTACGTCCGGTAGCCAAACAAACCAAGCAAATGGGTGACGAGGTCGTAAGTGAATGAATTTAATGCGCCTCAAATTCTTACGGTTAAATCACAATAACAAACAATAAATTTGTAAAAATAACTCAAACTTATATTAAAGTGAAAGAATTGATTATCAAATTCGACTTTCATGAGTAAGTAGCCATTAAAATCCAACATAGAATATCTCTCGTTTAAACGGAATCGTTTCAATTACTGCTATCCGTTTAAACGTTTACAAAATTTAGTAAACGTTTCACCCTTACTACCAAGTTTATCCATAAAAGATATGTATCAAATTGATTTATGAAAATTTTCTTCCAGTGACCTTGAACTTTCTCAAATGACATTGGGTCTAGGTCATGACACACCCTTGGGTCATGGGCAATCTTTGTGTAAAATGAGAACCTACCAAGTTTATCCATAAGAAAGATATGGACCCGACATGAATTATGAAATTTTTCTTCCAGTGTCCTTGAACTTTCCCAAATGACCTTGGGTCAAGGTCATGACAAACTCTTAGGTCATGAGCAATCTTACTGTGTAGTAGTACATTCTAATGTCCCTCTGTAAGAAAGATATGGACCGGACATGATTGCACAGACAGACGGACGGACGGACAGACGGACAAGGTGATTCGTATTTACCCCCCCAAACTTCGTTTGCGGGGGGTATAATTAAAATGATAAACATTTTTAGACTGAATTTAACAATTAATGGAGATTTATGAACAGTGTGCATGAAATTATATGTATAATACAAAAAAAAATACTTTATTATGATATATTAAATCACCATCAGGCGACCATAATTTGATTTTTAGTTTTACGGATTTTTTTTTCAAGAAAGGTCAAGTCGGAGGACGAAAAAAAAAAAAAAAGACAAAAATCATTCTAGCAACGACCTTTTTCACATATAAAAAGTCATGTCCCATTTCACTGTAATATAAAACAAAACAAAAAACAACTTACAAGATATTTTTTTTTTTAAATATTAATATACATTGCATGTATAAATGTTGTTATTTATAAAAACTACAACTTTTAATTCAAACATTGTTTAATATGAGTACCATGTAATATTTGAAATTATAAAAATTTAATTATGTTCTTCACTGTATAGTTTGCACTTTCATTTGAGCGTCATTTGAATAATATTCAGGGTAAATATCGAAGTTTAACTTGGCAATTAAACGAATTAATAAAATTCTGCAGATGCTCTGAGTTTCCAGCTTTCAACTGATGGATGAATGGATTTTTCTCATTATAAGAAACAAGAGATCTGTTTCCTGGATTTAATAAAGATCTGAAATTGAAGGAACTGGATGTACCTGTTAGCCAAACTTAAAACTTAAAACATTTTTAAAAATTACATCTGTAATCTATTGAGAATGAATTAGATAGATTCTTAGATCCTGCATTCTTTTTTTTTTTTACTCTAAGTACATATGATATCAAAGCATTATTGTAGTCCTGTTCCAATCTGCTAAAATTATATTTTGAAATTCAGAAACTTTATTACCCTGTTTAGCTACATAAATTCAAAGAAGTCTTCTAGAGGTACTGTCAAGTTGCTCTGCAGTTTCAAGGGTTTTTATATACTGGTCTTGATGTAGGATTTGCTAAGTCACTGAATCTCGTAATCCGCGGTGTTCCCTCTGCAGACTGTCACTCTTTATTAGTTACCATGTACTTGCTTTCATTTCCTCTTTAAATTAATAATAAAGTAATCCTACTGTATAGCTGGGTTAGCTTGGGTAGAGTTCATGTCTTTCCTGATCACTGTATTATTTATGGAGGAATTATTGTGTTTTAGGCGCATATAAACTTGTTTGCAGCAAAGTATCAAGTAAATTCATATCGTTATTTACCATCCTTTTTGTGAAATTTCCACATCTAGTATCTCTGTCTTTGAAAAACAACACTTTTTATGAGGATAATGAGCAATTAGAACTGCAATTACATCTGGTAGCACAGTTAACATCTTGATTATTACCTGTTATCAGTGGCAATAAGCAGATTAGCTACCAGTAAACACTGCATGACAGCCATTTTTGTTTTGACTTGTCAGTATTTTACAAATCGAAGAAGGTAAAAAATCCGGATTTTTTCGAAATTGGTAGAAACAGCAATTAAAAAAATAGAGAGAGACATGCAATGGGGAGGGTTCAGAATTTGTAGACTCTCGATAAAATCATAGTTGACAGCTCACCTTCTTCTACCATTCGGCACATGTGTTTTTTTCTAAGTTTCTGTGATTTGCTTTTATAAACACAGGTTTGACAAAAGCGGATTGAAAATTTCCGATTTTATTTTTTTTTTGAAATGCAAATTTTTAGAGTCGGCGGATCCGTAAAATTAAAAATCAAATTATGGTCGCCTCACCTTCATTCACTTGAGAGCTTACTAAGGCGAAATGGGAATACTTAATTTTACAGTTTAGGCAAGATGGGAACAAACCCTTTAACCTTGCTGATACGTTTTAAGTGGAATGGGCTATACACACGGCTTCCACATTTCATAGGTTTATTTCTTGTGACAAGACCTTTTATTTGGGTACCATTAATTTTGACCTCTTGATTGCTTGACCTAGGATTTACACATTTTTACAAGAAAAATACCAAACTTTAAACTTGGCCTTAATTTTGATCAGTAGGTGCTTTCATGTTTAACATGTGTATTCAATGTGGATTGTCAACAGGTATAAATATGTTTGATCTTGACCCTAGAGTTTGAACCACTTTAAAGAAAAATTTAACCTCGTCAATTTACTTTGGAACAGGAAGTATTAGGGATTACTTATTTTACATGTGTATTCCTTGTGACAGAACTTTCTTCTCATACCTACAATTTGAACCCTTTGACCTTGACCTTCGAGTATGACATATATTTGAGAAACTTCAACTTTGCCTTAGGCTTCTATACAGGGGCATCAGTGTTTCACAAACACATCTTGCATTATTATTTGGTGGTGTCTCGATCCATATGAGGGCAAAATTCCCGAGAGAGATGTTTTCACAACAAACAAACAAATTACTTAAGAAAATATAAAACATGAATATCTTGGTCATGCACATCTCTGCATGAAAAAAAACAGCTTTTCAAATACTGTAACCATATTTTAACCCTTTCAAAACACTCAGCTTTTCTGGTTTCCTTATCATATAACATCTGTCGTGACGTGTTGTCCACCTGTTTGTCTGAAAACTTTTTACATTTTTAACTCCTCTAGAACCACTGGGCCAATTTTACCCAATTCATATAGAAATATGTACTTTTGTATGTCAGACTGTCCATCGGTCTCAATATAAATATTAATCTTGGTCATCACGATCATATCTACTGAATGAGAAGAGACAAGGTATTCATATCAAACATGTATTTCTATTTACCTGTGAGAATGGCATTGTTTTTTTTTTTTTTTTTTTTTTACACATGACCTAAAAGTTTGACGTACTTGTACAAAAATTAAATTGGTATAAATTCATCATTCTGAAAGATAAAAGTTACGGTATTCATATTATAATGCATGTATATTATTACCTGTCATAAGACCTTTCAAATAAATCATGACTTTTGACTCTGTGACCTTTGACCTTGAAGCTTAACCTACTTTTCAAAAATGTTGCATTTGCTTATAATTTTTGATTGAGAAGAGATATATGACTCTCATATTTGACATGCACATCAATTACTCATAAGAATTGAGATGTTTCCCAGCATGCGATGCTTTTTTTTTTACCCTTTGACATTGATGTTTTACATAATTTTAAAGGACTTCAGGGCTTTTTGCATAAAGAAAGTTCCACGCCACAGCAAGATACGCCCGCAGAAAATTACAATTACAACATATCCTAAGTGCAGGAAATCATTTCAATCTTGATTTTAAGATTTCAATGATTTTTACACATCTTAAAAAATTTGTTTATCCATCTCCTGTGGTGTATGCATTAATTATAACAAATATTGCATCATTCATAGATTTCTATACTGGTTGTGCAGGGTTTAAACTTAACTGAAATTTCCACGAGCCATGTGGGCTCCTGACATTTCAAATTTAGGAGCCCACTGCTAAATTTGTTAGCCCACAGTCTCTGTGATTTTTTTTTTAAAAGCATAGATACTGGGACAAAAAGTAGATACAAATGAAATACATATATAAAGTCATCTGTTTAAAATTGGAGTTCTTACTTTATAAAAATCAGATGTCATATAAATATTGAATCAAAAGAAATGAATTTGTATTCAATAAACATTTTTACTATCTTTTTTTTTTTACTTGGTAATACATGTATATAAATACGTAGCTGTGGTACATGTCTTCAACTGATAAACTGACAATGACACAATAAGATTTTATAGGTTAAATATTTTAAATACAACATATCTAAATAGGTGAAAACACTTACTATTCATATGACTGAGTAGTTGGGAGTTAGTAAAATTGTATATCTCTCACGTATCAACCATTTACAGAGGGTTGGAGGAAATTCGGATTAGGAAAAAAGACGATCGTTTTAGGGAATTTCACAAATCCTGTAGTACTTTAAATGGAAAAGATGAAGGATATTTACGAACAATAGGACCATACTGCTGTGATTTATTTCATTTTTCTGTAGTTTTAAATCAAAAACCTGCATGAAATATCTGTTTTTCAGCAGATTTTCAGTAAGGTGACTGGGAATGAATTCGGCCCCCTGCAGAATTTTTATTCGCCACGTGGGCGAGCAACTTACAAATTTTATGAGCCCACACCAATTTTTACTCGCAATTTGCGAGTGGGCGAGCGTTAAGTTTAAACCCTGTTGTGTTAGACCTTGCCAAATGCCTATCATATCAAACACTATCAAATTAGTCTTCACAACTTAATTTATACCTAATTAATTTTGAAAATAAAAGACTGGTTATCAAATATAAACTGACCAACAGTTCTTCTGCCTAACTCCCAAAGGATACAGATAAGACCATTCTATGAAGAAATGAAAGAGCCATGCAGCTAGCCTTCCTACATTGAACACATTAATTAATCTTTAACTGGATGCTTTTCTACTCATTACTCCCAAAAGATTGTTGGATCTCCACTATCTACCATAAAACATTTTCAAAACTTATAAAACATCAATGATTTTTTTTTAGATATAATGTCACACAGTTTTCAATATGAAATTCATATGGACATGCTGATTTCACCCCCACCCCCATAAAATTAGTTTTTAAGTTCATAATACTATGTAATATCAAAATAGTTTAATAGGCAATATCAAATTAGTTTTCATTACTTGTCATAAAATTCATTTTAAAACTTGGGCTAGCCAACAAGTTATTTTTAATCCAACAGGCTTACCCATTTGGCCCAATACTCAAGGAATATAGATAGCACCGATGCTGTTACAGGCAGCTACTCCTCACACTAAACTCATTAATTTCTCTCTCTAATTTGACGATGCTTTTACAGCTACTCCTCACTAAAAAAAACTCATTAATTTCTCTCTCTAATTTGACATGCAATTTTCTGTTATCGAAATTCTTCTTCACCAGTGCTTGAAAATTACGTACACTCATGCGAGTGGTGGAATTTCTCTTAACATACATAATATTTGTTATAGATTGCTGTCAAGTATATGCTAAAAAAAAAAGTATTTTCTTGATTTAACATTTTTCTAATAAGGATAGTGCAAAAGTTTTAGATTTTTTGAATGTGTAAATGAATAGAAAAAGACATTTAAAAAAAAAAAAAAATTTCACTTAAATTAAAGGTCACAGTGAAAATGAAATAGGTCACGACACACCTTCTACCTTGAAATGACCAAGTTTAATGATTCTAAGTCTACTAGTTTTCTAGTTATGGACCAGACAGGGTTTTTCCATATTTGGCTATAATTTTTTAATTATAGGTCAGAGCGACCTACTTCTTGTGCGCAACACACCTTCTACCCAATATGTATAAGCTGACAAAGTTTGATAACTCTAGACCTTATAGTATTAAAGTTATGAGCCGATATGAGAAAAGCTAACAGACAGACACAAACCCTATAACATATTATTATATAGTCTATCTATAGTCCCTATATAATCTATACAAACGCAAACAGTTCATAACACTACATATTCACTGGATTTTAGGCCGTATTCACCGGAGGGTCAATTCGCATGCAACAGCATTGTGACGTCACAATCAAAATATCAAACAACGTTGTAAACAATGGATGCAACGGCCGCAGCGAGCTACGTATCTGTGCAGGAAAACGATTATTCAAACCTTTTTCAGGATTATTTTTTAACATCTGAACGTCTTACACATAGCCAAAGTCAGAAAGGAAAACACAGAGGTTACAAACAGTAATCTGGAGATTTTTTTTATTTTCAACAATGGAAGATCGCAAATGAAAATGGTGTCGTCATACAGCCTTGAATGTCTTATCTATACAAATCCCGACTATATAATAAAACAATTATGGACTCTTTTAGTGTTGAATATGGTTTGTTATTCACCAGAAAAATATTCATATTGACCGAGGCGAATTTCTACGTCCAAGGGGCATAACTCTAACAAAAAGGATGCGATCATATTCAAAACAGAACTTGGCCTAGATATTTATCTAATATACCTGTATGCTAAATTTCATTTCAATATGTGCAACCTCTGCAAAGAAAATGAACGGAAACTGCAAATAAGTGGAAATTTTCTAAGTCCAAGGGGCATCACTCTTATAAAAATGGTGCGATCGTACCCAAAAGAGAACTTTACCTACATATTCAGCTCATAAATCTGTATACTAAATTTCATTTTAATATGTGCCACCTCTGCAAAGAAAATGAACGGAAACTGCAAATAAGTGGAATTTTTCTAAGTCCAAGGGGCATAACTCTTACAAAAATGGTGCGATCATACCCAAAACAAAACTTGACCTGTATATTTACTTGATAAACCTGTATAACAAATTTCATTTCAGTATGTGCAACGGTTGTGAAGAAAATGAACGGAAACTAAATGGACCAACAGACCGACCGACGAACAACAGCAAAGCAATATGCCCTCCCTTCTTTGAAGGGGGGCATAAAAAGTTTTACCCCAATTTTCAAGCTTAGCCCTCTAGCCCTTCTGGTTCCAACACCTAAGGCATAAGCAGTTGAGAATGCCAACTATTAATGCAATGATTTATAGCACTAAGCATTACAATGCAATGCTTCAAGATTTATTTGTCTACTCTCTTATTAAGCAGGTCTTATCATTAGTTGCTTCAATTTAAGCATGTAAGTCTTAAGGCCAACTTTTTATCTATGTTAAGCATCCACAAACAAATTGTTTTAGTTAAATATTTGTGAAATTAAAGAAAAACACACATTAATGTTGAAATGTCACAAATGTAAAACTTTAAAACAGGTTGTTCTCTTTTCGGATCAGCATCTCTCTTTTCTAGAATGGTGGAGTGCAGTTATACCATTTTTTTTTCAACATGTCCATTAACTAAATAATAGTTTAAGTTAATCAGTTAATAACAATGACAGAAAATTTCTCAAATGACTGAGAAATTTTACAACTGGACATAAAATGTGCCTTTTCCCTGTGGGTTTGTGTGTCTATTCAGCTTAGAAAGATAGCTTTTCAAATTTGGGGTGGATGCTACACAAATACAAAATATTGGAATGGCCTAAATAAAACAAAATAATGATATTTTAATTCAATTATTTGACGAGTCGACAACATCAATTTCCATGCGTTTGTGGCAATAGTTCTTAAATCAAGAAGACAAGAACTAATCCATCAGTAATTCCCTTGGTCGCCATATTTGACGAACGAAAATTTTCAATATATGCCTACACCAAGTACTTACTTTAAATCTCTTTGATCAGGCTCGAGCAGCAAGTTGGAATTAATAACAATCTTATCTCTAAGGATCTTTGAAGACTTTCTTGAAATCTTTCCAAAAACGATGTCAGATTGCTGTCTATAAAGTGTAACCTGCAAGTCTCTGTCTACTGCAGCTGCAAACACTGGAAATGACAATGACGTCACATTCGGGCAAGGGTAAAAGTAGACTTCCCGACGCCCGACTATCTACAGCCCCGGAACGATATGCACATAGCGCGAGACGAACGTGAGATTACATAAATGTTAAATATGATAAAAAAAATTGATCAATATAAATTGGAAAGATATTTTTTTCTCAAAAAAAGGGATTTAATATAAATATATATAATGCCCAAATGATTTTAAAGCCATTTTATCTGTCATTTGTATGTGTATATATGTACATGTGTTTTTGCATGTTAATTTATGCTGTAAATGTTTTCTTGTGATATTTTAACTGTGATAGTCGGTCTAAGAGCTCTACAGAGCTCATGTTTCTTGTTATGTATTGTATACAATGCCGACTTTAAATAAAATTTACTTACTTACTTACTTACTTAGGGGTTTGTAATCATATATATAGCATGTTAATGAAGACAATAGTCAATTGTCACATTTGTTACTTCAGTATATAAACAGTGTCACCCCTTGGGTAAAATATTTTTTTTTGATATGGTCAAAAACAGTAAAGGGAAAGACACCTCCCGTCGTTTTTGTGTTAATCCTGTTATTTTAAAATCACACTTTAAATTGTATTTTATAAAATTACTTTGGTATAAATAATTTATTTCTTTCACATATTTTTATAACGTATTTCATTTAAAAAGTATATATATCTTTCCCAATTTATCTTTTTAAGTTATTGTTAACAGTACCGTCATTTAAACGCATTCACTAAAATTCACAATGTTTAATGGAAAAGATTGTTTTAATAGAAAAAGACTCTCCACTAGGCCCTAAATATCCAATTGTCAAAGGTTATCAGAGAAAAACTGCATATTATGACCATTTAATTTATGAAATTCACATTCATATCGCTTACAGATAATTATATATAAGGTATTTAAAATTATTTTTACATAATTATTATGTTATAAAGCTTGACACTAAAATGTATCATTTCTTCATCTTTTTTTATTATTTTTTTTTTTATTATTATTTGTCCGTAATCTTTTCATCTCCAAACATTCGGATGGCCTCAGCTGACTACATCTTATAAAATTCACAATTTTTCGGTACTTTCCGACAAGCGGATAAACCACAAGGTTGTTTAGCCTGGTTCCCTGTCCCTATTTTGCTTCGTACACTCCGCGTCACTGTAAGGATGAGCCAGTGGACCAGGTTAGAGGTTGTTTCACCGACCTCCGACGGAAGGACCCGAATGGTTTTCCCGCCGCACGTGCAGCGTCAGATTAATTCCCGCGCTCAGATCAGTGAAACGAATGATGGCCAGAAATATGCTAAGAACAAAAGTCTACATTTTGACAGAAAAGATTAGGCGGAAAAACGACCGGGGCTCTTTCCTAATCACCATGGCCTATGTAGACCTTGAGAAATCCGTCAAACAAATTACATTACCACACCTGAAGCACTTTGAAAACAGCCTTCAAAAAGGAAAATATTATTTGTGCTCTAATGTAGCAGCCATCGGCGACACTGTCCGCCTTACAGAATCCTCAAAGGTAAGAACATTCTACACTTTATTCCAAGATAGAAATGCCTATAATTTTACTTATCATTTATGCTACCAACAGTTCAGGGCCCCAATATCTTGGTCTTTTATTTCTTGTGAAAGACAGAAAGAGGGATGAGAAGGGAAGAGGTATTTATTACTCTTACAGTTTACAGTTGACATACACTAAAGTCGCCAATATTACAGGTCACGTCTAGATGTTTCATTGCAAAGTTCTTCAATCCTGCTTTTATCACAAGGGGATACAGTTTAAGCTTTATTGTCCCCTAAAAATTTTGTTTTTAAAAAGTTATGAAATTAACATTAACAATAGTTGAGAAGATGAATATGATAAATCGTTAAAGAATATGAAATAAAGGAGAGGCTTTCTGGAAATATGACGTCATTTGGTACGTTTCTAAGTTTAATGCAGAAAAGCACGTTTCTTTCCTAATTTTCCTTTTAAAAATTGTCTCCCACTGTCGCCCACTTTCATTTTTAGCTCACCTGAGCTGAAAGCTCGGGTGAGCTTTTCTGATCAACCGTTGTCCGTCTGTCTGTAAACTTTTTACACTTTCAACTTCTTCTCTAGAACCACTGGGCCAATTTTAATCAAACTTGGTGCAAATCATCCTTGGGTGAAGGGAAATTTAAATGGTTTAAACCAAGGGCCAAGACCCCTTCCAACGGGAGATAATCAAGAAAATACAAAAATACGGTGGGGTCATTAAAAAATCTTCTCCTCAAGAACCACTGGGCCAGAAAAGCTGAAACTTGTGTGGAAGCATCCTTAGGTAGTGTAGATATTAAATTGTTAAAATTATGACCCCCGGGGGTAGGGCGGGGCTTTAATAGGGAATCCAAGTTTTACATAGAAATATATAGAACAAATCTTTAAAAATCTTCTTAGAAAACACTGGGCCAGGGAAGCTGAAACTGATATGGAAGCATCCTTGGGTAGTGTAGATATTAATTTGTTAAAATCATGAACCCCGGGGGTAGGGCAGGGCCACAATAGGGAATCCAAGTTTTACATAGAAATATATATAGAACAAAAAGATCTGCATCAGCTAAGTTACTCAGGTGAGCGATGTGGCCCATTGGCCTCTTGCTGGATATATAAAATGCTATAAACAGGTCCAGGAAAATCACTATATTTAGCTATATAGGTATATCTACCTATATAGCTTTATTTACCTATAAAATATTGCTATATTTAGCTATTTTGGAATAAGTTTCAGTTTTATGAAAAGCAGACAAAAAGTCGCACAATGAGTCAGTATTAGTTTTCAACATATATATCAAAATCTTTCTGAAAGAAAATTCCACTGAAAATTAATGTCTTGTGCAATTTTTAGGTCACCTGAGTAACTCGGATGACCTATTGCCATCTGTTTTCGTCCATCGTTGTGTGTTAACATTTGAACATTTTCAGCTTCTTCTCTGATACCACTGAACCATTTTCTACCAAATTTGGTATGCAGCATCTATGGATGAAGGGGAACAAATATTGTGAATTTCATGGTCCCCGTCCCCCTGGGGCCTGAGGGGTGGGGCCAAACCTACTAAAATTATTGCAATCTTAAAAAATCTTCTTCTTTACTCCCTGACATCAAGCAGACAAACTGTTAGCATGAATGTAATAAGCAATGAGTCCTCTACCTAAATTGTGAAATTTATGGCCCCAGGGTCAGAGGTTCTAGTGCTAGGGCGGGACTATATATATTATATAGTGAAAATGCATTATTTCTTTGAAAATCATCTTCTCTGCTTCTGGGTATTAGATAGTTATGATGAGCAAGAATGCCTCTTCCACATTTGTTAATTTTATGGCCCCAGGGTTAAGGGTTCTAGTGTTAGGGCGGGGCTCTATAGATTATATATAATGAAAATGCATTTATTCTTTGAAAATCTTCTTGTCTGCTTCTTGGTTTTAAATAAACTAAGTACATAGTTATGATGAAAAAGAGTGCCTCTTCCAGATTTGTGAATTTTATGGCACCAGGTTCAGGGGTTCTAGTGTTGGGGTGGGGCTCTATAGATTATATGTAATGAAAATGCATTTATTCTTTGAAAATCTTCTCAGCTTCTGGGTTTTAAATAAACTAACTAGGTACATAGTTATAATGAGCAAGAGTGCCTCTTCCAGATTTGTGAATTTAATGGCCCCTGGGTCAGGGATTCTAGTGTTAGGGCGGCGCTATATAGATTATATAGTGAAAATGCATTTATTCTTTTAAAATCTTCCTCTCTGTTTCTGAGTATTAAATAAACTAAAATAATTAAGCATAAAGTTATGATGAGCAAGAGTGCCTTTTCCAAAATTGTAAATTTATAGCCCTAGGGTCAGGAGTTCCAGTGTTAGGGCGCGGCTCTATAGATTATATAGTGAAAATGCATTTTTTCTTTAAAAATCTTCTTCTCTGCTTCTGGGTTTGAAATAAACTAACTGAATACATAGTTATGATGAGCAAGAGTGCCTCATCCAGATTTGTTAATTTTATGGCCCCAGGGTTAAGGGTTCTAGTGTTAGGGCGGGGCTCTATAGATTATATATAATGAAAATGCATTTATTCTTTGAAAATCTTCTTGTCTGCTTCTTGGTTTTAAATAAACTAAGTACATAGTTATGATGAAAAAGAGTGCCTCTTCCAGATTTTTGAATTTTATGGCACCAGGTTCAGGGGTTCTAGTGTTGGGGTGGGGCTCTATAGATTATATATAATGAAAATGCATTTATTCTTTGAAAATCTTCTTCTCTGTTTCTGAGTATTAAATAAAATAATTGAGCACATGGTTATGATGAGCAAGAGTGCCTTTTCCAAAATTGTAAATTTTATAGTCCCAGGGTCAGGGGGTGTTAGGACGGCGCTCTATAGATTATATAGTGAAAATGCATTTATTCTTTGAAAATCTTCTTCTCTGCTTCTGGGTTTTAAATAAATTAGCTAAGTACATGGTTATAATGAGAAAGAGTGCCTCTTCCAGATTTGTGAATTTTTATGGCCCCGGTGTCAGGGGTTCTGGTGTTAGGGCGAGGCTCTATAAATTATATAGTGAAAATGCATTTATTCTTTGAAAATCCTTTCTTTGCTTCTGGGTTTTAAATAAATTAGCTAAGAACATAGTTAAAATGAGAAAGAGTGTTTCTTCAAGATTTGTGAATTTTATGGCCCCAGGGTCAGGGGTTCTGGTGTTAGGGTGAGGCTCTATAAATTATATAGTCAAAATGCATTTATTCTCTGAAAATCTTTTTCTCTGCTTCTGAGTATTAAATAAACTAAATAAGTACACTGTAATGATGAAAAAGAGTGCCTCTTCCAGATTTGTGAATTTTATGGCCCTAGGGTCAAGGGTTCTAGTGTAAAGGCGGGCTCTATTGATTATATAGTGAAAATGCATTTATTCTTTGAAAATCTTCTCTGCTTCTGAGTATTAAATAAACTAATTAAGCACATTGTTATGATAAGCAAAAGTTCCTTTTCAAAAATTGTGACTTTTATTGCCCAAGAATCAGGGGTTCAGGTGTTAAGGCTCTTTTGATTATTCAGTAAAAAAAACATTAATTCTTAGAAAATATTTTCCTTTGCTTTTGGGTTTATGCTAATGATCCAAGTATATATATATTAATGATGAAGAAAGGTGCATCTAGCAAAATGATTATTTTTTATGCCCCCCCCCCTCCTGGGTCAAGGGTTGGTAGGTGGGAGTTACATGGTCTGAAAACAAATTAATGCTTTGAAATGCCCAAATTTTGCATGTACACTAAAGTTAATGCAAGCTATATATTATATAAAAAGAAAGAGTTTCACTATTGTAGTTTTCACACAATAAAACTATAGTCACCCCCCTTTAAATACTTGATAACAACCCTAATCTTCTTTATTTGTGTCACTACAAGACATTTTATTATAACCCCCACAAACAAAGTTTGGGGGGTATATAGGAATCACCTTGTCCGTCTGTCTGTGCAATGGTGTCCGGTCCATATTTTTCTTAGAGGGACATTACAATCTACTACTCCACACTAAGATTGCTCATGACCCAAGGGTGTGTCATGACCTTGACCCAAGGTCATTTGGGCAAGTTCAAGGTCACTGGAAGAAAAATTTCATAATTCGTGTCTGGTACATATCTTTCTTATGGATAAACTTGGTAAATTCTCATTTCACACAAAGATTGCCCATGAAACCCTATTTTGTGTCATGACCTTGACCCAAGATCATTTGGGGAAGTTCAAGGTCACTGGAAGAAAAATTTCATAATTCGTGTCTGATCCATATCTTTCTTATGGATAAACATGGTAGGTTCTCATTTCACACAAAGATTGCCCATGACCCAATTGTGTGTCATGACCTTGACCCAAGGTCATTTGGGGAAGTTCAAGATCACTGTTAGAAAAATTTCATAATTTGTGTTTGATACATATCTATTATGGAAAATATTACTTCTAAAAAATCCAGCGGGGGGTATTTTGTCCAGTTTGGACAGTTCTTGTTGTATCATAATAGATTTAGACAAGTAGATCGAAATATCTGAGTACCTTAACAAAGCACCTGCTCTACTAAATATTGCTGAAATCTGAACAAAATTGACATGTTTTAAGGTTTTTGAAACATCTCCATTCGAAATGAACCAATCTGTCATTGACACATACCTCAACCCACCACAAGAAACAGTCGAGGAAATTCTCCAATCACCACAAAAAAGAATGGTTTCAGTCAGAGGTATTTTACGAAAAGTAAGCATAAATTTATTTCTTTCTTTTATATAAGGCTCAAGTGAACTTTTCTGATCACATTTGTCCGTTGTCTGTCCGTCTGTATACTTTTTAGCTCATCTGAGCTGAAGGCTCAAGTGAGCTATTCTGATCACATTTTGTCTGGCGTCCTTCTGTCCGTCTGTCTGTAAACTTTTAACATTTTAGACTTCTTCTCAAGAACCGCAGGGCCAATTTCAACCAAACTTGCCACAAAGCATCCTTGGGTAAAAGGGATTCAAGTTTGTTCAAATGAAGGGCCACACCCTTTTCCAAGGGGAGATAATTATGAATTAGAGAAAAATTAATGGCATTTTTAAAAAATCTTCTTCCCAAAAACCACTGAGCCAGGAAAGATGAAACTCACATGGAATCATCCTCAGGTAGTGTAGATTCAAGTTTGTTCAAATCATGACCCCCGGGGCTAGGGTGGGGCCAAAATGGCCGACTCAAGTTTTACATAGGAATATATAGGAAAAATCTTTAAAAATCTTCTTTTCAAGAACCACTGGGCCAGGAAAGATGAAACTTATGTGGAATCATCTTCAGGTAGTGTAAATTCAAGTTTGTTCAAATCATGACCCCTGGGCTAGGGTGGGGCCAAAATGGCCGACCCAAGTTTTACATAGGAATATATAGGAAAAATCTTTAAAAATCTTCTTCTCAAGAACCGCTGGGCCAGGAAAAATGAAACTCATGTGGAATCATCCTCAGGTAGTGTTGATTCAAGTTTGTTCAAACCATGACCCCCGGGGCTAGGGTTGGGCAAAAATAGCCGACCAAAGTTTATATAGGGATTTATAGGGAAACCTTTAAAATCATCTTTACAAGTACTTCAAACCTATGATTGGTGATATTAATATGGAATCATCTTCAGGTAGTGTAGATTCAAGTTTGTTCAAATCATGAACCCCTGGGGGGTTAAAATTCAATCCCCCCCCCCCCAGTAAACTTTCATTTCTGATCTGATATGTGCTTTTTCGTAGCCAATGTGCTCAGGTGAGCACTGTGGTCCCTGGGCCTCTTGTCACATTTACTTCTCCTCAAGAACCACTGGGCCAATTTTGACCAAACTTGGTACAAAGCATCCTTGGGTGAAGGGCAATTTAAATTGTTAAAATGAAGGGACATATCCCCTCGCAAGGGGAGAAAATCAAGGAAAGACAAAAATAGGGTTGGGTCATTAAAAAATCATCTTCTCAAGAAACACTGGCCCAGAAAAGCTGAAACTTATGTGGAAGCATCCTGGTATATTATAGATTCTAAATTATTCACATCATGACCCCCATGGGAAGGGCGGGCCCACAATGGGGAATCAGTTTTATATAGAAATATATAGGAAAAATCTTTGAAAATCTTCTTCTCTAGAACCACTGGGCCAGAAAAGCTGAAACTTATGTGGAAGCATCCTGGTATAGTTTACATTCCTAATTGTTCACATCATGACCCCCGGGGGAAGGGCAGGGCCACAATTGGGTATCAAAATTTTACATGGAAATATATTGGAAAAATCTTTAAAAATCTTCTTCTCAAGAACTGCTGGGCCAGGAAAGCTGAAACTTATGTGGAAGCATCCTGGTATAATGTTGATTCTAAATTGTTGAAATAATGACCCCCAGGGGAAGGGCGGGGCCACAATGGGGAATCAAAGTTTTATATTGAAATATAAAGGAAAAATCTTTGAAAATCTTCTTCTCAAGAACCACTGGGCCAGAAAAAGTGAAACTTATGTGGAAGCATTCTGGGGTAGTGTAAATTCTAAATTGTAGGAATCATGACCCCTGGGGGAAGGGCGGGGCCATTGTAGGGAATCAAAGTTTTACGTAGAAATATATAAGAAAGATCTTTGAAAATCTTCTTCTCAGGAACCACTGGGCAAAAAAAGCTCAAACATATGTGCCCATGGAAGGATCATTGGGTAGTATAAATTTCAAAATGTCTAAATTATGATCAGTGGGGTAGGGTGGGGATGCATTATGTATAACAAGAGGGAAATCCGGTAAAGAACAGAATGGTCAAAGCTTCTCAGGTGAGCGATGTGGCCCATGGGCCTCTTGTTATAGATACTTGTGAACATTCTTTTTAGAAAACATGATCATAATGATTATAATGTACAGTAATAATGTACAAAGATCACGTACATTTTATATTTTTACAATTAAATTGTATAACATATTTCTAATATACAAAGTATTTGTTCAAGTCATCACAGATCATAGAATCGCCCAATAGTAAGAGGAAGGAGATAACAATAGAGTCGATGGAAGGTACTTCCCGAGTAGTTTGTAAATTGTGGGGAGACCATGCCGACAAGTGTCTGCCGCAGAATGATGAAGTCGTGACTGTCTGCAACGTAGAAGTTGCAACATTTAAAGATATAATTTCACTAAATTCAACCCTGCTTACTTCCATAAAGGTATGAACTGAAATTCTTGTTCTCTTAACATTTACATTTTTAGGTCACCTGAGTAAAGTTACATCACCTGAGTAAACTCAGGTGACCTATTCCTATCCATTTTCATCCGTCAGCGTACAGTAATGTTTGAACATTTTGAGCTTCTTTTCTGAAGCCAGTAAACCAATTTCAACCAAATTTGGCATAAAGCATGCATGTAAAACAAAAATTGTTAATTTCATGATCCCTGTCGCCTGCAGGATGGAACCAAAACCACTCAAATTAGTGCAATCTTGAACAAGATGTGTTTGGAAAACACTATTCACCCATCTTCAACACAATTTAAAAAAAAAAAAAACACTTTTAGCATATGGGCCATAGTCAAGGGCACAAGATCACAGATCTTGATGTCATTCAAAAGAACTTGATTAGTAAAATATGCATACCAAATATGAAGTCTCTATCTCTCATTGTTCAAAAGTTATGCTGAAGATTCAAAACAGATATTTTTAGCATATAGGACACTGTCAAGGTCACAAGGTCATTGACCGTAGTGTTGTATGAAACGACTTAATCAGTGGCATATGCATACCAAATTTAAAGTCTCTATCTTTTATGGTTCATAAGAAAAGGTGAAAGTTAAATTCACAGAAAAAAAATATTTTTAGTATATCGGTCAAGGTCACAGAGTCATTGCTCTTGATGTCATTTGAAAGAGCTTAATTAATAATTTTTTTCTTCCTTTATTTTAATAACATACCAGTTGAGCTAAAGACTTAACACACACTTCTGGTTTATTCATTCTTTTGAAACCTTGAAAAGTGGCCACATGTGTAGCCAATTTCTTGTTCTCAAACAAGTCATCTCTTAAATCAGGTTTGACTGTAGTGAAAATGCATGCTCCTGTCTATTTTACAAATAGAAAAAATAATGTAAAACTTGCAGATCTATAAGAAAAAAAATACATTCAAGTGAGTCTTTTCAAGCAAAGGATTAAGTTGCATGAACTTTCCACTTTAATGCTTTAATTAAAAATCATTACAACAATTTTTCTATCATAGGAATCCGAAGAGAACACCATAGTCGAAGGAAAAGTCGAAGGGGTAGATTTTAGAGAGTAAGTCATTAAATTTTATTCTTCTTCACTGACTACAGCTGAAAGATTACTTGACATTTTGTGATCACATATCCTATTATTTTTAGGTCACCTGAGCCGAAGGCTCAAGTGAGGTTTTCTGATCACATTTTGTCCAGTGTCCATCTGTCTGTCTGTCCGTCTGTAAACTTTTCACATTTTCGACTTTTTCTCAAGAATCACTAGGCCAATTTCAACCAAAATTGCCACAAAGTATCATTGGGTGAAGGAAATTCAAGTTTGATCAAATGAAGATAATTGGCAATTAAGGTCCCAAAATGGCCGACCAAAGTTTCATATAGGAAATATAGGAAAAGTTTTTTTAAAATCTTGTCTAGAATAGCATAGTCATTATTCATCATATTTACATAGAAGCATCCTCAGCTGGTGTAGATTCAAGTTTGTTCAAATCACCGCTTAATGTTTTTTCAAATCAAAGCTTAATGACCAACATTCAGTAAAAACATTCCACAAATTTTGCTTCTTCTAATATTTTGTCATCAGTTTAACTCTGGTTTTGAATAAACATGCGTATATGTAGGCTCTTTATGAAAGCACATTAGCTTTAATTTCTCATAACTATCTTTGAAAGTTGAAATTGCGATTATTTGTCTTTCTGAGTAACAATCATTATATTAGTCACAGGATCCCAAATTACCTCGATCACATGGTCATCATATTACTTACCAATGCAGCATGAGACTGATATTATGCTAAAGTCATAGGTGCAGCTTACTAATTTTAAATTGTTTAAATGAAATGCATATTTTTGAAATCAAAATGATGTTTTTGTCGATTTCCATAAGATACTCTGCTCTCATTTCTGTTACATATTTCTATAATAACACTAACCTGGTTCCCCTAACCAGTTTACAAATGCATTTTACAAGAACTAATTAATAGTTGTACATACAACTAGTTTGTTTTGCTTAATTCTTTGCAAGCGTGTCTTGTTTTGGCATTGGGTTACGAATAGAAATTAATGCAGCTTTGTGGATATTGGACACCTGAGCTTACAATAAGGCCACAATAACTTAATTTGTTATAGTTTAGGGTCCTCCACACACCCACAGCTTATGTTCGCATATTATTGAGCATTACTTTTAACAAACATATCAACCTTTAAAAACTGTCCAGGGATTAAGATATAATTTATACTGATTTTTTAAAATAATTATTTCACAAGTTTCAAGAAATTTTTCCCGAGGCGTTTTCATACCTAGCAAAAAAAATTTGCCTTACCCTTTCGTATATTTTTAAGCTCACAGAATAACCATAAAAACTCAATTTTATCGATCAACACATTTTTTACAGAAATTTATTTTATTTATAAGAAGTACATAAAACTCTTTTTCTTTGAAATACATCACGAGAAAAATCAACAAGGACTCCTTTTGAAGAGAAGAAACATTAATGAATTAGATTACATAAAAAAATTGAATTAAAATTAAATGCACTGATGTAGAAAAAACATTTTCAAAATCTCTGGTATCAAAGTTCCTTTTTGGAGTTATCTTTCCTGTTGCTCGGGACTCAAAAACTTTGGCAAGTCTCCGCTTACGTCACCATACTATTATAATTTAGTAATATACTAGCCACTGAACTGGACAAAAATAAAAGAGAAAAACTATAAACGCACACTATTTTATCAATATTTATAAACACACAATGAGATAATGTATTATTGAAACGTACAAATTAGTGTGCCGAAATTTCAACATGTTCAACTACACAGTATCAAAAACAGACTCGGTTGATTAGCCTGAAAGTGTAAATAACCTATACTTTTCTCGTCATACACATCGGTACCTGTTGTCTAGGAATTATTATCTTTATAATAATAATCCAAGACGTCTATTGTTCTTTTATTGAAAAAAAAAAATACCGCAATCCTTTTCATCGGTCACTCCGTGATCATCATGCCATGTGTTTATTGTTTACAAACAGTGGAAGGACAATTTGTTCATGTATTTTCTCAATAAAATCGGAAGTAAAAGTATTTTTTCTCTATATACGTCACAGGTCACATGGTGTGGAGGACCCTTAAATAAAGAAATTTGAAAAAAAAATTCTTAAACTAGCCATAGTGACTCAAAGATCATCTTTTTTTTCATCTAGGGACTTCAGCTATCTCATCATTGACACAAAAACTTATAAAGTAAAAACAACGGAACTGGAAAGAATATTTCCCAGAGGGTTCGAACAAGACATACATATCAAAGGAAGCGCTCATGGATTTACCATTGTTGAACTGTAAAGTTATTTATATAACTATATATATAATCATGATCTCAAAAACTCTCATTAAAATAATTATATAATCATGATCTCAAAATCTCTCATTAAAATAATTGCAAACATTATCAATAATGCAAAATTTCAACTTTTTACTTTTAATATATCTAGTATTACAGATTGTACCTCTTCAACAAATATAATTATTTGGAAAAAAATTTCTTCGGTATTATCAATGAGGTCAAAAATTTATATATTACAACATTGCAAATACTATCAATATAAAGTATATCAAAACATTTTTACTATTAATCCATTTTTAATGAAACTCTTGAAGAAATAGATCTTCACAATATTTTTAAAGTACTTTCATGCAACTTTAATTTTCATTCATAATTCTTCATTTTTCCAGAGAGAAGATCAACCCAGCAAAGAAACCTAAGAGAGATTAAACTTTTCAAGAAAAGTACTTCTTTTGAACAATTTGAACAACGCCCATTTCATTTCAGCTATAATTCAAAGCTCAAATAAGCTTTTCTAATCATAATTTGGTCGTCTGTCTAGCTGTCCGTCTGTCTGTAAACATTTCATATTTTTAACTTCTTTTCAAGAACCACTGGACCAATTTCAATAAAACTAAACACAAAGCATCCTTGACCACAGAAGACTCAACTACTATCTTCATATGAAAGGCCATGTATGACCTCTTATAAAGGGAAATAATGAAGACATAATTAAAATTTTGTGGCATGTTTGTAAATCTCCTCATCAAGAACCACAGAGTTGGGAAAATATAAAACTAATCTGGAAACATCTTCAAGTATTGCACATTACAAAATTTGATTTTTAAATTATGACCCCCAGATATAGCCTGAGGCCACCAGATATGATCAAAGTTTAACATACGAATATATAAGAAAAAACTTTAAAAAATCTTCTTAAAGACAACAAATCCATGATCTTTGACATCTTATATGTATGCATCCTCAGGTAGTCATTTAATTAGTTCAAATCATTAAATGTCCCCTCATGAAAGGGTGCTTTTCAAATGAAAATCATATTTTTAGTACAAATATTTATAGGAAAAAATTGAAAATCTCTCAAGAATAACAAAGCCAAAATTGCTCATATTTACAAAAAAAAAAAAAAGTTGTGTTATTATATTTGTATAAATCATGACCCCAAGGGTTAAGGTAATTAAACAGTGGACAATCAAATTTAATAAACGAATATATATTAAACAAATATTTCCTTCTGAAACAGCTTCAAAAACATGCCATTGGAAATATACATATCAAAACATACACAACGCCATCCTTAAAGAAATGTTTGTTTAGAATTGCCACCTGGGGGGTTTCAGACCCATGAGGGAGGGAGGTTTTTTTTTTTTTTTTAATTGAAGCTAAATGATTAAAAAATCTTGGTGAACAGTAAAGATTTTCAATAATTTTCTTTCTTTTATTTATTGATATGTTTTGTTTTGTTTTGAAAAATTATATATAGCACTACACAGAATGGTACTCATATATCAATCTAATTCAGATGTTAGATCTGAACATTTATTAGAATTCACCTTAAACGTCAAACTTCTATTTTATTTAAAAAATCATTTTTTAAACAATTTTATCAGTGTATTTCATAGCATTGCTCTTGTTTAACATTACATTTCAAAGACTAGCTTGTGAGTTGTCATACTGTCAGATATTTTTCATTTCTTATCCTTGCAATTTTCTAACTGGGATCTGAACAATCTTTTTTATTTCAACATAAGGGACTTAGCCTCTCAAGTTCAATGTTGAATCTATTGAGATATTCAATACCAAACAAAGTATAATTTTATTTTGGCCCAAGTATTGTAGATTCAAATTTGTTTACAACATTACCAAATGATGGAGAATGGGGAAACAATGCTGAGTCAAGGCTTTACATATAACAATAAAGGATTTTTTTTATAAGTTTTCTCAACAACATAATCATGATTAGTGATCTTTTTATGAAAACATCCACACATAATTCTGTCAACATGTTTTCAAATTTTAATTCCTAGGCTTCAAACTTTTATTTAGAAAACCCATAGCACATCAACACATTAACATCTATATTAAACCATTGTCATTTAGTGTAGATTCAAGTTAATTCATATAACCCCCCACCCCCTTAAGTTGTATGTTTGGACGTTTTAGCCACACTGGATTTCATTTTGCTTTCTTCTTGGCCGTGACATGTATTACTAACAGGTGAGCAATGTCACTCATGGTCGCACCACTTCTTTATTGCTGACCTTTTTCTTGCAGAAGTGCACATGTTTTTATTGATTTTTATTATCAAGTAACCTTGGTAAACAGGTTTCAAGTTTTCAAGTTTTTATGGCAAATTTGAAAGCATTTTTTTTATACCTCACTTTTTATAAATATGATTAGAGGTCATATTGTTTGGTCTATGCATTCGAAACAATTTAACAGAAGAAATTGATCTATTATTTTGAAACCCTATTTCCCAATGTGTAGGGGTAAAATATTTCAAGTGCACAGATATTGTTTGACCAATTGACTTCTCTAGGTCATAAACATGCTTTTCTTAAATTTGTCACAAGTTCAGTTTTACAAGCAAAAACACTTTATTTACTCATTATTAGTGCAACAAAAATTAATCAATAGCTTCTAAGGCTACCACCATATCATTTCAAAAACAACCGCAATGATCTTTTTCTTTTTTTTCTTTTATAGTTTTCCAGGTTTAAAAAAAACATTGAGTTATTCCCCACCTCATTAATTCTATCTTAAATGATAGATAATTTATTAGAAAACGATATATATCTTCAAAATTCACAATATTTTATGAATAAATATTCAAAGAAATATTTGGAATAACATAATTTCAAGTTGAATACATATTACAACTTAAAAGAAAACCTACCTGATGCATTTAATTTTTGGGCCTGAGAAACTATTAATTTTTTTTTAGCCTTAATGAAACCTGTATGCAACATTTATGTCCTATGGACTTGTATTTCTTTTAAACTGTGTCAAATACAACACACATCCATCTTTGAGATAAGATGTTCCAAAAAATACTGGTAACCACATTGTATAATGTGCTCATCGATACTGTTTAACATTTTATTATTATTTCACAAATGCAACCTATTTTTGCAACATTATTAATGTGTGTGAAAAAATCATTACTTGCCTATATCCTGACCACATTATGAAACTTTTTTTTTTATTATATTGTGAACATTTTTGGTAAAGTCCTTTCACAGGATTTTTGAACGAATGTTATCAGTTCTTATTTTGTTGTTTTTACACATAATTATTGTTCCAGCTATTCCAGAAAAAATGTAGTTGGTTGTGGGGGAGGGGGCTAGAAGGCACTTAATACATTTTTTTAGGTAGTAAAGTATACAAATTACTTTCATTTGAAATTTACAGACAGCATACAATGTTCCATCTCAAACACATCACATCGTACAATTTTTGTAGTGAGTATCATTAACTTTGACGAGCGCTATCTATTCAACCTGTAGCAGAAAAAACGCAATTTTTTTATTTTGAATTTAGATGAATGGTGCTATATCAAAAGAATTTCCAATTCAATGTAATGCTGATTGGGGGGAAAAACAATTAACAATACAAGTGGTTAGGTAAAATTAAAAGTGCCTTTTAAACTTTCCATATTACATTTTTTACCTGGAATAGCTCAATGTCAAATTGAAATGACATTACTGAAATAAAAGAATGCAAAATTTGTATATCTCTTCTCATTTGATGTTCTGACTGAAACTTTAGAAAATGCACAATTCAAGTACTAACAGGCGAACTAGTTTACATACATTTTACTCTTAATATTTCATTTAAATTGTGCATTTATTTTTAGTTACATTTCATTTTAGATTTTGGGCATCACTTTTCCCATAACTACATTTTTAGTTTACCACAGCAGAAAGCTCAAGTGAGCTTTTATCGATTGTCTGTTGCTGTAAATGTAAACTTTTTAGTTTCATCTTCTTGATATTGCAACAATTTCTTGAAAAATGAATGACATATACATATTTTAAAATTCTTCTAAAGAACCTCTGTACCATCAAAGATGACTTTGATATTCTCTGGTAGTATAGATTAAAATTTTTTACAAGCTTTACCCCTGAGAGAAGGCAGGCCAAAATGGAAGATAAAGGTTTCACATGTGCAATACCTTCTCAAGCACAGCAAAACAAGAATTAATCATATTTATATGCAAGCATCCTCGATTGTATACTTTCAGTTATCTTTGCAAAATTGACTTCCAATCGCGTGAATTTCTGTCCTCAACATGAGAAGCTATCATGGCTAGATCTCGTAAACGGAAAGAGATTAACAAACAAAACCTGTAAAATTGTTAGATCTTGATGAGTACGCAGAACCACCGGGGATAAGATTGTCCGCCGTCACTTCCAGTCGTCACAGGAAGTGATCAAACAAAGTGAAAATACAACTTGTCTCTTCTGAAACTTTTTTTGCATCACATTATAGCATCTTATTTGTAGTTTCAAGATGTATCAGTACCACCGGTAAAAAAAACCGTAAACTTCCGGATATAAGAGAAAAACTACGTAATTTGAGTACATTTCTTTCCCATAAATACTTTTTTAGATAAAATATTTTTGAATATGTTATTCAGACTGCAAATGTCTACAGAAACTTCAAATATATTTTTTAAAATATTCACTTCCGGTTGCCTGATTTCCTGTCCTCAAAATGAGAAGTTATCATAGCTACATCTCGTAAACGGTAAGAAATTAAGACACCAAACTTATAGGATTGGTAGATCTTGATGAGTAGGCAAATCCATTTTGGTTAACATTTTCCGCCGTCACTTCCGGTTGTCACACGAAGTGATGGAATAAATCAAATATTGAAACATTTCTTTATAGAATCTTCTTAGTCAAACATTTAAAAAAATAAAACTGATTTTTGTAAATGTTATTGAGACTTTAATAGTTTAAACTTACATCAATAATCTTGGTAAGTTACACCTCCTGTCGTTCGTTTTCCCGAAATCAATTAAAAAAATCATGTGCCTTTTTTAACATATATAAAAGTTCATTCATGCAGATCAATAGAGGAGAACGGAAGACCTTCTTTGTTGCTTTAGCAACAAGAGTTTCTAGTTATTATTATTATTTTTCTTCTTCTTCTTCTTCCTGGGTACTTTTTTGTCCGCGAGTGATCTCGTCAACTACTCATCCGATTGAGGTGAAACCTTTTTAGGGTTAATAGGCATGTTATGTAGATTTGCGGAATCAAGGTCATTTTGAGTGCACGTGCATGCACGTGCGTGCGCGTGCAATGCGTAAAATGACCAATATACTTGATATAGCTGTAACTTTTATATTTTTTGATGAAATGCTTTGATACTCAGAATATAAGGATATATTAAAAGTGTAAACAAGATGACATGGTCAACATGCACATGCATGCACGTGTGCGCACGCGCAAAGCGTAAAATGACAAATATACTTGATATACTCGTAATTTTTATACTTTTTGATGAGATGCTTTGATACTCAAAATTTTTATATATATTAAAAGTGTAGACAAGACGACATGGTCATCGTGCACATGCATGCATGCATGCATGCACGTGCGCGCGCGTGCAATGTGTTAAATGACCAATATACTTAATATAGCCGTAATTTTTATATTTTTTTATGAAAATCTTTGATATTAAGAATATACAGATATATTAAAAGTGTAGACAAGATGATGTGGACATCATGCTCATGAATGCACATGCGCGCGCGTGCAATGTGTTAAATGACCAATATACTTAATGTAGCCATAACTTTTATATTTTTTTTATGAAAAGCTTTGATACTAAGAATAAACCGACATATTATAAGTGTAGACAAAATGGCATGGTCATTATGAACATGCATGCAGGTGCGCATGCGTGCAATGCTAAGATG